CTTAGCTTCAACATGCCTGGAACAGCGAGCAGAGAAGCAAGGGCTCTATGCTTGATGGCCTTCCAAACGCCTGAAAACAGGAGCATTCTCTGTCGACCTCCCCCGCCAGGGCACCTGCAGCGGGGTGCCATGCTGCTGGCTCACCTCAGCATTGTGCAAAGTGCAAAGTATCCCTGACGTCAACTACTGACAAAAGCCTACCATAGCCACTCATTCCGCAGCTGGTGCACGTGGGGCTCATAGAGCTCCACTTTTCAAGAACCCCAATTCTGGCTAGAAGTGGCATATTGCCAAGGTCATGAATACGCATAATGCTCCGGTGACCTGCTGCCAGTCGAAGGAAGCTGCAGCCGCACCTTGGAGCAATCTTGTCAACCCTGTTCCCAAGAACCGTGATGGTAGCAGGTGGTAAGAGAACAGGAGACTGTGCTTACCATGACTTTATATACACACATGATGATAAGAGTTATAATTAAAAGGTAATCAAAGCTGAATCTAAAAAAGTTTGTTCCGAGACACTCTGCACAAACCGCAGGTCGGCATCAAATAAGGCTTCGAAGACTCCTGGGCAGTTGAGTTGTGAAAGGCTTCCAGACGTTTGCGGCAAGATGCCCGAAACTTCAGGAATCAATACGAAGTTTCCTAGGTTCCCCAGTAACCCCTTCATACAAAGGAGACCCCAAAACCAAAAGTGAAAAAGAGTACTACTGGGGTACGAATTCACTTTCTTCACGAAGACTAAAGGTGTTGGTTGTTCCATGAAGGAGGTAGCTCTGTGGGGTTCCATTGATAAGGGGCCTCGAATATAGACGCCAATATACTATACCTTGTTACAGTGACTCCCAAAAAAGGACCCCTTAATTTTCAGAACCCCTCATATCACTTTTTCACATCCTGGGTTCGTGATGGGGGAAGCAGCGGGTCCATCAGCGCCGGCTTGTTTCGCGAGGCGCTTGCCATCGCAAACAAGCAGCACGGCGGACTTAATCAATCATTTGAAGGGCCAGCTCTTGTCGCTATACAGCTTCAAAAACATGTTTAAGGAGGCTTTGCATAGGACTTAGGAGGTTTCGCATGGCCATGGTCAGAGATTTCTCGAGTTGATGTGTGATGCTGGGCCGAAGGCCTGCGGGGTCAAGCCCGCAGATATATGCAAATGTCTACCTATACAAAGAAACACACATGTCAATGTCCATCATGCCCATGGGCACGTGTGCACATATACTTACTTATGTAATCTTATATGGATATGTGCATATATGTTTACATTTACACCTAAATACACATGCATCTATTACCTGTGTGGTTATGAGTCGGCTGGCTGAAGGCCTGAATGAATCATCTACCATCTTCCATGAGCTTCTCTGAGCTTTGAAGGCAAGCTGGCGTCAGGCAAAAGCAGAATACATGCTTCCAACAGTCAAGGTCTGGAAAAGGCTGGCTCCCGTGTAAGACCTACAACAGGACCGGGTGGGGAACTACAGTATTCGTCCTTGCTCAAGGTCTCTCTACACCATAAACGGCAATTGTTTCGGCTGCCGCAATGATTTCTGTGGGCAATTCTGCAGGGAGAGATAGTCATGGATGAATCCCACGCGCTCACGCAAAGCACGCCCCAACAGGACCATGCCTGCTATCTGGTCAGAATAAGGCTTTGGGGTACTGTCGCCTGCAATAAGATATGAGCTCCAAAGAACTAAACTCGGATTCTACCCTATGGTCTCTGTGTTCGAGACATCTACATGTCAAAATGATTGCACCAAAATCTTGTCCAATTTCCCTCGTCAGAGATTCCAGAAGTGTCCTTTTCAAAAACCCTTGAAGCCCTAAACCCTGAACCCTAATCCCAATGTGACTCCCGGTATCTCCCGATCATCCGTGCACAAGACATGTGCCTGAAAACAACAGTACTCGGATTGATGAAGCCAGCATAAGGAAAGGGCCCCTCCGACTCCATGAAGCAGGCTACCTACGCCTTGCTACAGCATCCCCACCCAAGCAACCACCAGATTACGATAGCGTTTTCGGGTAGCATGCGTAGTTGCAGCCAAGAAGAAGAACCACAGGTTTCATGACCTCCTTGTGCAAGGGCTTGCCCTGCCATCTTAGCGGCATCAAGGGAGCGCCAGGGGCCAGACAGCAACACAAAGCATGTGACCATAGCACCATATGCTAGATACAGCTTCAAGCTTTTCAGCTTTTCAGGAAACATTGGCGCTTGGGCGCAGGCCCCGGACACAAAGCTTTGGCCCGAGTGTAGGATGTCTTAAGCTTCCTCCTGTGCCGGTTGGTACTCATCAAACTCTTTAAAGAAACTGACCAGGCAGCAAATACTCCAGCCAGAAAGCTCGGTCGCTGCTTACCCAGGCTGCTCTTGGAAGCCTTGTTGTTGCTGTAGTGTAGAAACAACATGGAACCCCCACTCTGGTGAGATCTGAGAGGTCACAAAAACCTTGCAAGCAACTGGACCCTGAAAGGGTCAGTTATATCTGTGTCCTCTATCAAGCGTTGCAAGTGTAACGTGAGATGCCATATCAGCTTGGGGGAGGCTATGCCAGGCGTCTGGCATGCGTCAACCTGACGTCCTAGCATCGCAGATTATAAGCCGGCACTGCTTGTGTTTGCAGCAAATGCTGCTGCAACCAGGAGCCCCAAAGCCCTGAAAATCCGGGGTCTATAGTATGCAGTATGGAGTACATTTATGGTGCAAGCTTTGATCCACCTGGATACCGAAACAGCTACCTTCCTGCATCCCCGAGCAGGCCATGAGAGACACCTGGGAACCATGCAGAAAGCATTCAGCGTGCTCTACATCTCTAAGCTTTGCTAATCAAGTTCTTTCTATGAAGCATCCCCAAAAGTGCAGGCAGCGGAAACGAACACCATTAGTCTGTTGATTCAAGCGATCTCATCATCAAGCACGCCGGGAGCGCATGCTTGAACCTCAGCGCAGGCTCATCCCATGAGAGATTGCTCAACAAGGTTCTGAGACATGTTTGCGATCTTCTAATACATTATACTGCACTCTAGGCTGATGATGGCTCCACTGTGTAAAATCTGCGGGGTTCTCCAGGCTCCTATGAGTGTTAGAGAGTTGAGTAAGGTTGAGGCCGCAGACGTGCCCACAAAGAAAGGTGGCCACACAAACAACCCTGCAAGTCCAAGAGGTTTACACTTAGTTTCGTGCTTGCTCTGCCTAGACCGGACATCCTTGCTTTGTTGGGAGTGTGTCACCAACCGAGCTCCGTGAGTTTGGAGTGAGGATCCATAAAAGGCAGATCTTTGGCAGCCTGAATGCGCACGGTTTAAGCGTAGGGTCCCGCTGTTCTGCTACCCATAGCAACTCGGAAAGGAGCTTTGGCATGACAAACACAGGCCATCCTGTTTCTTGAGGCAAATGTGATGTGGAAATGTAGATTTAGCTCAAGTCTTGTCAAGCTGCGGTCAGAGAAGCAATTATGCCAAACCTCGATGGCGGTACTCCATTCAAACTGAACTTGTTTGCCCCTTTGAAGGCTCTGCGGCCCCCAAAAGAAATCTTAAAGAGGAAGCACCGGGCATCTCTTTGCGGTCGCTCAGTTGCACGGCAGAAGCAGGCGCGCTCTGTCCAACAAAATCTTCCAAGATGGTGACACAACTTGTGCAAGTCCCCTACACTCCCCAGAGCGGCTTCGACAGTATCCCATAACCGCCAGGAGGAGGCCAGAACTGTCAGAAACTAGTGCTGCCAGGGCGCAGCAGTGAGGTCGCGAGACCGAAAGCCACGCCCAGTGCCGAAGAGCAAGCGAAGACTCTGAGCAGGTTGCCGCAAAGCTCAAGCCTTCCCAGGGGATTTACACTTTAGTGTTCAAAGGTTTCAGCATGTAGTGCGCTCGACAATTAGACTTAGACTCAACGTTGTACGTTGCAAGGGATCTGCCAGGTGGAGACCTATGGGGGCTCAAAGGCTCCTTAGTTCAGGAACGACTCTGAATTCAATGCAGTCACATACTGCGTTGCTGGTGAGATTGCGGCTTGGACCCTGAGGACATTGGGTTCGGTCAGATGCCAACCAGGGTTTTGCATTCTTTGGAAGAACACGTATTTAATTAGAGGCTTACAAGATTGCGCCACATGGCTATTTATCACATCGCTATGATTGTACAATGCTTATGGCGGGAGTTGGGAGCTACCAGTCATCATCATCATCATCATCATCATCATTCCTATTGTGGCTATTATTGTGGTAGCCCTGGTCTTTTGCTTCCTGCCACCATTTTCGATGGCGGCTCTCTCTCTCTGGAGCATTCGCATTCAAGACCAGTATGATCAACGCAGTCTCCACCCCCCAACCATAGACCCCAAACACCAAACCCTAAGCTCCTTGAATCATAAACCATCACAAGCCCAAAGCGCTAACCCCGCAGAGCCCAACACTCCTGATCAAGCAGCAAACCCTCCTAGGATTTCAGGTATGCTCCTTCATGTAAGTAGTGTTTTTTTGGTGGTTGAACCCAGTAAGATAATATTCCTTACATAAAATACTATGCCCCCAAGGGAGGATATAATCCTACTCTATATTGGGTACCATAGTATCCCCAAATAAAATACCACTCATGTGGGGGCTCCCTAGGAAAGGTCCACTAGGAATGGTCCTTGGGAAGTCCCATGTCTTGCAGGGCTAAGAAGCAGCGGAGGCATCTTGGTTGCATCCTCCACAGAGGTGCTTAGCCTGGGCCAGAGGGTGCAGCATAGGTGGTCTGGCCAGTTGTGAAGGGGAAGGAAGCGTCGTGGCCCGTGAACCCTAAACCGCGAGTAGGGTTTAAGGTTCCAAGATGTTCTGGGCAAGGGGAATCTAAGCACGATGCTTGTTGATGTTTTTGTCTTTACTACACGGGTTATTTTAGGAGCTATATAAGGAATAGATGCAAGGGAATAAGTTCCTTCGTTTCCTACTCGCAAGATGCAGGTGATACAGGACCGAAACGAGCAGGTAATCGGCTTTTGTTTGTAGGCATAGCCAGTGTAGAGAGCTTGAATGGAGCAAGGAATAGTGCTCTTCAGGCTTCCATATTACACGCACCCTGCGCTGCCCTGAAGAATGTTATCTGTGAGTGCATCATGGGTCCCTGCTCCGCTCTGTCAAGGAGGACCAGCAGGGCCTAAGTGCTAGCCCTCACTTCATTACTGGCGTGGTTTCGTCCCCGCCCCGCCATTACAACGAGTAAACTGCTGCAGTCCTTTGCGGAAGTCCTGTCAAGACTGAGCAAGAAGCCATATCTCATGTTCTCCATACTTTTTTGTGCACACAGCGGCCCCCAAACCTCTGATATAAGTATCGATAGTTTTGGACTCTCAGACTTAAAGTATGGGCTGTCTGAGGAGCCTCACAGTAGGGCGCATGGGCTGCGTGCACAACGGTGACAACAACTTCTCCAACTTTTGTGCCTTCTATGCTAATGATGGTGCCAAGCTTGAGGAGCTTTCGGGATTACCGTGATTGACTTCTCCAAGACATGGAATCTGGGGTTCACGAAAAACAAGGATACCCCTTGGGGCTGGTAGGGGTGTTCATGCAGCAATAAATAAACAGATTTTGGTAGCCCCTACCCCCCAAAGTAGGACCGGATGACTATCATATGATGGCTAGAGGGTCCTAATTTTGGGGGTTGGGGTTGCCAGAATCCTTTTTTTTAGCCAAAAGGAAACAGTGAGGGATGCGAGGCACCGCTGACAGCGGTGAAGGCAGTGCTGCTGCATGTTCATTTTACCAAGCTATTCCTCTTCTCCACCTCATATCTACGTATGCTGGTGTCTAGCGAGGGGTGAGACTCCGAGCACCAAGTGTCGCACCTCTTTAAGGAACTCCAACCCCATCTATGACCTTCTTCTTGCCAACGAGTCTCAGGATTGACACTACGTCATTGAGCACACCTTCTCCAAAGATGACAGCATACCTCGATGCCAAGTTTGGGTGCGTAGCTTGGTACAGGCAGTTCTACTGGAGTAAGAAGAGGTGCCAGGTGCCGAAAAAGAGGTGTACGGCCTCAAGATGGTAGGTCTGGATGGGGACAACACAGCTCGAGGCAGCTTCCCGAAAGATCTTGGAGCTCTACCACTAGAAACACCGTGCTCTACCTCGCACCTGCTCAATGCAAATACGCGGTAGGCGGTAAGCATGTAGGCGTACTTGGAGGTTACGCGAAACCGGACTGGAGCCTGATACTAGCAGACATGCAGCAGGCGCGCCAGAACAAGCTAAAGGCACAAATGGGGGCCCCCATGTATTAGCAGACTGTGTTCAACTGGCCCAAGCGGCCCCCCAAAGTCAGGCTTAAGTAATCTTTTACAACCTGAACTTCCTGGTGGCCAGGATAAAGTTGTACAATCATCTCAGTCATCGCATCAACAGTCTATGCACCAGCATTGCTATTTGACGGTCCATGTGCTTGACCCTCCCGCAATGTGTCATTAAAACGCCCAGCTAGTGGTTGGGTTGGGAGGGAAGGATCTTCTTGAGTGGGTGCACCTCCCCCTGATGCTTGAAAGGTATTGTGGGGGGCAGAGTAGCTGGTGTAAGATACGTACTGATTGCATGCAAGCACTGGAGAGATCTGAACATGTGGTTCCATTCCAGCCACGCTGCAGCTGCGGGAAGTCGGACGCTGAAACAAAGGCCATGGGTGCAACTGTATCCTTTCGCCAGCACAGGGTTCCGACGCTCAAGAATGAAGGATTGCTAAATTGCCAAACGTAAGCTCTTTTCAGAGTATACAAGCCAGAGGCTTAGGGCTCTCTTCTAGGGAAAGCCCATGTTGAGAAACTGCCATCAAAACATTTAATGCGAAACTTCTTGGAGGCATCGGCTGCAAGTGCGAGGATGATGCACAAGCAACCTGCTAAACATCGACAACGCGCAGCCTTCCCTCCCGTTAAAGGACTTCGAGATATTCATACAAGCGCAGCTACCACTATTGAGGATTTTGGGTTCCGCGGTGGGCTTGGCTGGCTTTGTTTGTGGCACACAGGGGTTACGAAGGAGCTTGTCTTCGCTTGGCTTTAGCATCCAGGGCTGAGCTAGCGAATCCTTTGTCACCTGAGCCATAATTGAAACTCCTAGTATCCCCCTTAATAAGCCCTGAGGTAGTCCCCTATATAATCCCCTATATAACCCCCCTTAAGGAGTTTAGAGTATGGTTCACATCAATCCTCATTATCAGTCTGAAGTCAGCGCGAGCTACATCTACCAGCCTTTTTGAGGGAAAGACCCCGCCACCTGATAGCAAATATTCCCCTAAACCCAAACTTCCCTAATATTAAATCATCCCAGTTGTGGTAGTATAATATTTGGGGAATATTACGTAATATGAAGAGACATCCCAAGAGTGTTGTAGGTAAGACAAACCACCGAATACGTAAAGTACAACATTCCTCAACGTCCCTTACCCGAAACCCATTCTGTGGGTCTTCATAGGATGCCCTTTGCGTCCCAGTCTCCGTGGAAGCCAAGACCGACGCAAGGATCAAACGATTCCTTGCATGAACCCAGCCGAGAAGAGGAATGTGGCCGCGGCTGGGAATTCAGTTTGGGATACGCAACGCATCTGTAGAAGTTGTAACGAAAGTCCTGCTCCAGCCAGGCGTGATCCGCTCAGAATCATTCTAAGATACGTTCAAACATGCTCGCCATTTTACACCCAGAATTGGCTGCTTTCGGTAGGGGCTTCCGCAAAACTGAGGGGTTCGTCATATGAAGATGATTCCTTCGTCTGAGGAACCCGCCTACGCATTGAACCATGAAGCCCAGAATGCACAAATCTCAAGAGTAGTGATCTGCATATGGCCCTCCCGGACCTGAAAGCATCTTCACAAATCCAACCTGAGGTGGTTCCCTGATGCTTTGCACCTTTGGTTGCAAATCTTGGATGCTTTGTGGTCTAGCTTCTCGGGCTTAAGGTGGACTATGCCTCCAAGCCACTGCGCTGGAATGACAAATGGCTCGCCGTTCACCTCAAGGGCTATCCCAGCCCGTCGGTTGGGCTTCTTGTGGTTTGAAAGTTGGTCCATAAGAACTTGCAAGTCCATGCCATGTCAACCAGACCCTTTTAATTTTGCAGTGACTCCCGCACAGGAGCCCGTCGGCTTGAGACTCCCCACGTGCTTGGCATGCACAAGAATCACAAACGAGATGCTGCGCTACCCCTTGCCCAACTAAATGCAAATGCACAGCAACGGTGAAAGCTGCAGTCAGACCGCAGCGCAAGGAACGCTGCTCAAACGTCCCTACGTCAAACACAAACAGCTGCTTGTTGGTCCGGTAGAGACAGCTTGACAAGCTGTCTGCCCAGCAGCCTACAGTAATCCTGGAAACCAAGGAGCAGGGTGTATCGTGAAAAGATCGGAGCCAAAGTAGATAAGCACGAAAATGCAAACCTGAGTCAAAGGTTCTGGATACAAGACCTTGTTTGGGATTTGCATCTTCTGCGTGACGCTTGCGTTTGCTTTGAGCTGGGCTTTAACCATTCGTCTCCACGACAAACAAAGCGAATGAATGTTCACTTCCTGACCCCAGCACCTCAGTCCATAAACATCCCAGAATCACATCTCTGATGCAGGTTGTAGGCAACTGTGCAAACTACATGTGGCCACGTCCCCAATCAAATTCAGTTGTTCACCCCTTCATGTTGACAACGTAGCCCCATTTTAATTGACAAGAAGGACCCTGAATCCATAATCATGGCAATGGTACTATCATACTACTACAATAGCACCATAATATTAACATACCACTACTATACTAATATCGTAGGAAGAAATGTTTGCAGAGTGAGAGTTCTCGCAGCAGCCTTTTTTCGGGACAGGCCTCGACGAGCTAGTTTGTAAGTTCTGCGACGTTAGGAGTTACAATGCAACCCCCCAAATTTACCTCCCCCCCGGGTTTCAGGAGCTAATAAAGACTATATGGAGCTTAATAAGGCCTAATAAGGTTCTAATGGGGTTCTAAAATTGGGGGTGGGGTGGTACATTTGGGGGGGGCACATGTCTAACTCCTAAGTATATGCATGTATCAGATACAAGGATCTCTGCTGAGCATATTACAGGTTGACAAGAAGGCTCTGGTGAATCGTACTGCGACCCATTGGAGCCCAGATACCCTACATCCTCGCTCGAAGTCTAAACCTTCCGAACCCTAAATCCTGAAACTTAAAGGGATTTGAAATCCCAAGTCCACCAACAATAGTCACAAACCCGAAGCCCTAAATCCTTGCTTTGTGCAGGCCGGGATTCGGTTCCAGTGATCCCCAGAGCGAAAATGTAACCACCATATCCTGGAAATCTTGTATGTCAAATCGTCCTAGAGAGCAGGTTTCGGACCTTTGACTCATGCGGGGTCTAGGAGGTCAAGGTCATGTAGCCCAGGTGCGAAGATTCAGGACTCTAGTATTATAACCTCCTACCTGCCCTGTTCTATCAATCAACGGACTTACATCCATGGGTCTAATCCGTTCCGAGGAAAAGCAATCCGTTCAAATCCGTTAATCCGGAAAGGAAGACAATGTGGTAGGGCTAAAATTGCAGCTGTATTGGGTGGCATAGGCCTAGCATGGAAGGAGGGCAGGTGGCGGGGCTGCATCTGTAATGCCATGTAACCTTACCTGCACATGCGTACGGAAGAAAGGCAAGAGGCCTCCTAGTGTCCGGGGCAATAACCACAAACCCTAGAGCCGCGGCAGATAGCAACGTAAAAAGCAAATAAAACCAACACCAGAATACAAGAGATGTAGAAAATCACAAGCCAAAGAAAGTAAACACAAAACGCAACAAACAAATTCTGGAACAAGGGGAAGGAAGAGCAAACCTAGGAACCCTTAAGCTTGGCAAAGCTCGGAAGAACTTCTGCTTGTCCAGGTTGAAGCCGGCAGCGAAAATGACCATTGGCAGCAGGTAGTAGCTGAACATGTCGTAACCTACAGCTGCAGGTTCAGGGCAATTAGGGCCTAATTCATAGCTAGGTTGTACGTACAGCTGTAGGTAGGCGATAATGACCGTGAAATAATGACCGTGAACCTCCAAGTTCAGCTGGGGATGTCTAGAGTCCGTGGGCTTGGTGAGGTAGAGTTTCGGGGTGGGGCTGATGTTGCATGGATTTAGGCTTCAGGGTAGGGTTTTAATGTCTATAGGGTCTAGGCTTTGGACTACCGAGCTATTCTAGACTCTAAAATAAAGCTCGAAGCTTACTCACAGGGGCACCCACGCCATGCAGGGAAACCGAAACGGAACGAAGACCCCACTAATATGCAATATTCCCCCTATTATCTACACACATATATACATATATGTATCCAGATACACATACACATGCTGGTACTGGATTGGGGGTATTGATTATTAAGAGGTGGAAGAGTCTATTTCTAGGAGGGGTGGAATCGGAAGATGGTTTTCGGCAAGCAGCTGAAAGAGGCATGCCGGCCGGACACAGCTTTCATGATGTAACCAGCGACCCTGAGCGAGTCTATGGTGGATCAATGCTGTAGAGGGGGTACTTAGAAGGGGGGTAGGGACGCTAGGACCAAAAAGGAATAATTACTGAGGAGATGACTAGGGATTAGGGCTTAGGGTCTGAGGATTACATACAGATAAGTTTAAGACGCTACCACATCTCACAAGGCAGCCCAACTGAGAATGGCCAAAGCATCCCAATGACCAGCTAAGCGGCAGTACAGAAGCATCTGTGAAAAACACGGTGTTGAGTAGTGACTTGGTAGTGAAGCCACAAACAGTTCGTGGCATTGTCAGAAGAAGAATGCAAAGCACAAGATGTAATCTTGGGTTTCATTTCTATCTCGCTGAAAAGCGTGCCACACTGCAAAGGCTGAACAAAAACGTAGTTCTTGCACCAGTGTTGTTCAGCCACTGAGTACTGATGAAAAGTAGAAATCGAGAGGGCCCCTTTCAGGTGCCAAGATTTAGGGAGGTCCTCCAAGCAATTCCCAGCGAGGCTTCATACCAGTAAGCGCTAAACCCTGGGCACAACTCTATATCCCAATTTATAACCCCTTTTACAACGGATCTGAAGGCGCCCCCATTTCGACCGACTGTTTATATATTCTGCAGAAGCACAGGCCCACCAGGACGGCCGCACCAGTTTCATGCAGCACCTAAGCTCCCATCTACAATATGAGGGTAGTGGGGTTACATGGGGTTTCTCGAGCTATAGGGAGTTGGTTTAGGGTTGAGGAGTTTAGGGTTTGCCAAAATTGGACCACCCTTGGGGCACCCTATGGGTATGCAGGAAGGCAGGAACTATGAGAGTTTACAGCGACGCCGTTTGGGGTTCTATAGGGGTTGTTTTTGAGCACGTCCCACGTACTGGCAATGGCAAAGCCCAACAAGGCAGGACATGGAAGTAAGTAGAATGATTCATGCTAGTGTTGCTTTTTTCTAGCTGATGGCGTGTGGAGATGCTCTCTGGCGTTTAATGCAACCAAACAAAAAGCCAGCGTGCTCCTGTTGAATACAGGACATAGGTTGCCGTCCTGTCAACATCATATTCTCAAAGCTCAACCTAAACTCCCTCGACTATGGCTGGGGTTCTGTGCTCGACTGCAGGTAAAATGTTTGAGTACTGGCGTCACGAAATTATTCATACTTGACTCGTCTGACTCAATCTCCTTCTGGTGTTTACGAAAATAACGGCAAAACCACACACACTGGAGCCTCAAGACTCCAGTAAGCCTTTGAGGCCTACGTAGTGCCCCTTCGTAGGTTTCGATGGCAAAAGCTGCATGGGGCTGAACCCCTCAACTTTCAGCTATAAAGAACTTCTGAGCAACAAAGCGACGATTATGATGATGATGTTGATAATGATGGTGACAATGATGATGATGATTGTAATGGTGGTCGTGATGATGGTGATGATGATGCGCGATAGCAGTCGTCAAACTCGTAATGCCAGAACGGCAACAGTTGCTGCGTATCCTCAAGACTTTCAAGCATGATGCTGGCTCAAATGCAGCACACGCTTTTGAAGCTTGAAGCTGGTACCCTGAGCAATTGATTTCACAAACCATTGGCCCCGCAAGCCAGGTCAGAACCGCCCTGCAAGCGTCATCCAACAAAAGCGAAAGCAAATCCTCGGAGTACTCTCAAAAGCAGAAGCTCCATTTTGAATACACCCTTGCGTACCCCAAATGCCAGGAAAAAACCAAGACTATGGCCTGAGCTTCCAAGGACTTTAGGGGACATTGTTCGCTTGGAGCCGGGAAACGTGGCAGACTTGGAAAACGTAGCTCCAGCCAACATACCTTGATGTGTCAGACGGACAAGCCACGAGACATATCCGACAGCCAATTGCTATCTCAGAGCTTCACCAGAACTATGTACTACTATTATCATTACTACTATTATTATCTTATTACTAAGTGTTGTTATTACATGTATTATTGCGCCCAGGAATTTCCAAAACATTCTTGCCAGATATCACAGGCGCAGCACCAGGGAACCACATGGTAGAAGCAGCTTTGAAGGCAAAGGCTGTGGAATCCCTATGGGTATATTTTGGGGTTATATTGGGATAATGGAAAAGAAAAAAACTGCAGGGATTATAGGGGTTATCCAGGCGTTATACAGGGATTGTAGTAGAATATAGGGTTTATATCGGGGCAATATTAAATTGGGATGGTGGAAGAATGGAAACTACAGGGTGCTTGCATTCTCTTGCAAGCTACCGGCCTATGAGTCTGGGACCCCAAAAAAATTGCACGCAGCCGTACTTCCGCTGCACCACAACCACCAACTCAGTAGAAGGACATCTGTGTGGATCCCTTCCCAACCCCTATCTTACTTGTTCTTAGTAGGGAATAAGGGAATACACGTATAATCCCCTAGGTCTCCCAGTTACCTAAACAGTAGGGTACTGTAACTATAGGGCAAAAGGAACCCAGAACCCATTGTTAGGCCAATGGCGCCCTAGAAATCCCTACTATATACCATATTTCCTTCATTTTCCATATGCTCTGCTGAGAACCAGTGGCTATTGCAAGGAAGGCGCTATAAAGCCACTCTGGGGGGGCCCAAACAGTCAGACCACGGGTTGGAGTTATATCTGAATGTACCGTAGCATCCTGTATACAGTATACTATCTGGACACTTGTTTTTGCAGTGGGTCTTGAGTACCTGCCCAACTTGCCCGCCTGGGCGCTTCTCTATGAACACTACAAGGGACAACTTTTCCCCATAATCAGGTTTCCATACCAATGGTGCCCTGCAAGAAGCTGTACCTTTCACCCAATCAGTGATTCAAAAAGCTGGGTCGTCGCATACTCGAATGGCACCATTCATGAACTGCGGCTCCCTCGGAAGCCTCAAAACTACATCCTAACAACCTCCAGGCGGAAGCAGGGATCCGCGATACCATATAATCTCATAGCTGGTAGGGCTTCCAAGCCACGCTAAGAGCAGCAAAACGCAGAAGAAGTCCTGCTGCAGCACTGCAGTACTCGACGTTTTGGGAGATCTTCCTCTAGTCTAGTTTTGAGATGCTCCAGGCATACTATCTTTTTCCCGGTTGTAGCTCGCTTTGAATGAAGCTTTTCCAGTTCTCAAACGCAAAGGTTTGGGAGTGTTGAGGTTGCTTATGCTGTTCTTGGGGGATGTATGCAGCCGCTTGCGTGCGCCACCTCTAAGGGTGTTGAGTTTTGGGTTCCGGGCCGTGTTTTGTTTCACTTTTGCTTCGTGCTTTGCTGTTGCCATGTCTGGGCACGAAAGTTCCTTCTTTGGGGCCTGCTCCGTTCATGACCCTCGTACTTCGAAAGAGTTTACTTACTTCTGGAGTTCAACACCAGGACACCAACAGTGACATTAATCAAGAGGACGTCCTCCAGCCCAAAGACTTCATGCATTCTTCCACCGGTTCCTTCGGAAGTTTGAACAACCTGGGCGACAAGGCAATGGGTATAGCTGCGCTTCTAGCATCTAGAAATCGAAGGTTCTGAAATGTACCCGATAGTCTTTCACCTGAACGGAAACAGTACCATTTCTAGAGTTCTAGGTCCAGAAGCCCTTTATACAGTGATGGGACTCCTGGAGATGTGTAGGCAGGTGCCCCACTCAAACGCAAAAAGCCTCCTGTCTTCCGGGATCTCTTGGGGGCATGGTATTCTGCTGTATTGGACCCTCCTTCAACCGCAGCTGCACATGGGACATGGGTAGTCTTAGGAGTAGCTGGTGTGATGCTGCTTATGTATTTGTGTGGGACCTGCACTCAGAGGCTAACTTCAGTAAGTGGCTAAGGCTAATTATGAGTTCTTGGAGCATGTGAAGAGATAGGAGACAAACAATGGGACTCTTCAGTTCGGAGCCCTTGCGCCGATTTCTCCTTGGCTCAGGCATGGGTTTGTACTAAAAGGGCTCTTGCCGTAAGAAGCATCGTAATTCAGAGCATCACCGTTGCCATTCATTCAGAATCGGTGAGACTACATACTCTCAAACATCAATGTCCGAGTACTTCATGCACTCGGCCTGGCGTGAAATGCCAGCTGAAAAGACAAAAGCCGCCAGCCTCAAACCCTTCAACGTGACCGGGCAAAAGTGGTCTCAGAGCCCTGCGGCTATGAACAAACCAAAATGCCGCACTCCAAGCAAAAAGCCGAGGAGCCCCCCAAAAAAGATATCGCCACAGGTTGGCATGCGTTTTGCCTATGCCCCCGGGACCGGGCCCCAAAGCTTTGGAAATGCTCCACCTGAAATGGGTCTTCGGCAAAGTTAAGACCTGTCCCTTGGATCATGTAGCCCTTTAAGCCACCCCAAAATCACATAAATTCTGAGATGCCCTTAATCCTCATCAAACGCTCTCACACTTCATCCTTAGCCTATGCCATCCCTATTAGGTCTATAATTCCTGCACCTAGACAACTAAGGTTAGAAGTATGGGCCCCTAATATGGGCCCTCAGGCCTTTGA